TTGTTTAATGTTTATCATTTAAATAACAGTTAAAATCTGATTTATGTTCAATCAGGAAAAACTAACACGGTCACACATTTAACGTCGTTTAACGGAGACGTTTATTTTGAGAACAGGGTTTATAACTTTCTTAAAATAATAATAAGATGTTTCCTGCGAAGCCTTTAAACCTGCTCCCGCTTTACACCCGAGCGGCTCGGTCACACCTCTCCCCCCGTGTTGCAGAGCAGAGCTACGGGGAGGTGAATCAGCTCGGCGGGGTGTTCGTGAACGGCCGCCCGCTGCCGAACCCGGTGCGCCTGCGGATCGTGGAGTTGGCGCAGCTCGGTATGCGGCCCTGCGACATCAGCCGCCAGCTGCGGGTCTCTCACGGCTGCGTTTCCAAGATCCTGGCTCGCTACAACGAGACCGGCTCCATCCTGCCGGGGGCCATCGGCGGCAGCAAGCCTCGGGTCACCACCCCCGCCGTGGTGAAGAGCATCCGGGACTACAAGCAGGGGGACCCGGGAATCTTCGCCTGGGAGATCCGGGACCGGCTGCTGTCCGACGGGGTGTGCGATAAGTACAACGTGCCCTCCGTCAGCTCCATCAGCCGCATCCTCAGGAATAAAATCGGGACTCTTTCTCAGCCGCGACCGTGCGACGGCATCAAGGCCCCGCTGCAGTACGGCCCTGTTTACCCGTACCCGTCCTACAGCGGGCCCGGGGCCCCCTCCGGGACCAGAACCGGCAGCGGCACCGCGGGACACATCGGCCTGCCCCGGAGCTGGCACAACTTCCTGGGCATCAGGGCCTTCATGGAGCCGGGAGGTTGGTGGAGAGTCTTTATATTTCACACTTAACACTCAGTATAAAAATGTTAAAAATCGGGTTTATGCATTAAAACATTTAAATTTTGTTTAAAAGATCTGCTGGTTTATTCAAATAAATCCAACCAATTATTCTACTTATATCTTTAATACAGTAAAATTAATTATTTAAAAATTGATAAGGTTTAAATTTTACATGATGAAAATTATTAAAATTTACCTTTTTAAATAATATTATAATAATAATAATACGTTTGATTAGTATAATAATTAGCCTTCTGTTAATTTAAACCTTAAAAGTTTGAATCTAAACCTTAAAGTTCTCCCGACTTTAAGTGAAAACATAACTTTAGTCCACTGTAGATTAAAATGAGTTTTTCTGTAAAATTAGTTTAAATCAAAAATACCATGGGGAAAATGAAATGAATTAACAAATAAAATGTCTTTAATGGGTGGGTGAGTGAATCAGCAGATTATTATTGTTATTACAAATAAGAAAAATGGGTTTATTTATTTCCTCACTGGATAATTCTTGTTCATTTAAATTGTCAACGTGAAACTGTGAAATATTCATTTCCAAAATCATCTTGTCTCTGAGAGTACATCTCAACAGATGAGAGGCACAGATTATAAGTTATTCATACACTGTGACCTCAGTGACCTTTTGATAAACTAACAAAGTCTAAAGACCATCATTCAGTGCAATCTAATCGTGCTGTCGCGTTGTTCCTGATTCACATGTTAAATATTAAACACTCGTAATTCTGGTTAAAAGTATCTGGTTTGGAATCAGCTGAATATAGATGAGGTGATATTTTTGTATTTTGTCAACAGTTACTGTCGACGTTTGAGATCAAACGAACGATGGTTCAGTGGTTGACGCTGTCCCCTCACAGCAAGCCCAGGTCTGGTGTTTGAATTCAGTGGACTGGCCTTTCTGTGGCAAACTGTGATGTTTGTAGGTCGTGTGTTTGTTTTCTCTGGCCACTCGAGCTTTAGGGTTAACCGGTGATTCTACGTTGGCTGTAGGTGTGAACGTGAGCGTGATGGTTGTTTGCCTACCTGTC